AGGTGCCGTGTGAGATGTGCGTGAACACGCGGCCCCGCTCCAGAAGGACCAAGGGAATGAAACGGCTGCGGGACCCCTGTGCTGAAGCTGCGGCGCCCAGGGCTCTGGGCTGCGCGGGGACCTGCAGGGAGCTCACTCCAGGAGGCCCCGCGCCGCGCGTCCCTCTCACGGCCTCAGATCTAGACCGAGTGTGACACCGATTCTAGAAATTACCCCGTGTACTGAAGCTGTCTGATGAGGGATTGTCTGAATCCGCGCAAGTGAAAGCAAATAGTGTACACGTCCGTGCGATGTGTGTGCACGGTGTGCATGCGGTTTACAGGCGAACTACACGTACGCTTCCTGCTCCCCCGCTGGCCGTGAGGTTTCTCGGTAGCTTCCTTCCTCAGGACTTGTAGAAAGTCCATGCGACATTTTCTCCGGGAACCATTGCGTCTTTCAGTCCAGCAAAAATAACATAACTTTCACTAAAAGATTAAAGCGATCACTGAAGCCCTGCATGTCAGTTCTTTGCGCTTAGGAAATGTAAGTTACCAAGGCCTCACGGCGGATTCCTGCCGAGCAGCATGCTATGCATGGTTACAACTGCAGTCTTTAAAAGTCTGTTCATTAAAAGTGTTCCCAGGTAGAATAACCTGCTTATTTGGAGCTGTGTTTAAGGCCTGCATCGAAATCAAGCGTAGACACAAGCCACTTGGAAAGAAATCATTTGCAGAATATTGGACTGTTCTCTGTCACGGGCAGGGACTCCTGAGGGTGTCAGCACTGAGGGGGACAAGACAGGCTCAACCTTTTTCTGGGAACATTTGAGGGAAACCCCGACCTTGGCATTTGCTGGGGTGGGGGGCAAGCCCCATACTCTATCTTTCTGTGAAAGTGCAGGTAAAATTGGAAAATGTACACAGAGGTCCTCTATAATCCATGTACCGATGGCTTTACTTTATTCAACGAAACGTTCCTGTTTCCATGGAAACAATCTTTATTTCGGACGTACATCCACATGCCACCTGGGTTAAGGTCTGGCACCGAGGAAGAAGCTCAGCCATCCATTGTTTACATTCATGAATCACAATCGCTTTACCTCTTGGGATTCCCATTTGGAGACCGTTTTAATTGAACTATAAATGGCATCAGCCGTTATTCTTGTGAGTGTGTTAGGAAGCACCAGCCTCCCCCGGACCCCAAGATGCTGAGACCCACAGCTTTGGAGGAATAATGAAGGGGGCGTCTTTCAACTCAGTGTGGCATAGATTTACCGAAGCTGCCTCCTCTGCAGATCGCTAGTCAATACCACTGGAGGGCCATTGCTTCTACAAGGGATTATTAGCATGTGGCTCTTTTTTGTTTTTTTTTTTGAAGGCAAGATGTTTTCATGAGTCTGAGATACTAAATTGCCAGAACTTTTGCATTTTCCTAGTGGGACTGAAAGTTGCATGGTGTGAACAAGAGTTAGGAAGCGGAGTTTTTTTTCTAAAAAGAAAGGCCAGACAAATCAGATTTTGTTTTCTTTATGCACAGATGCCGTTTTCTCTCACCTTCGTGAAGGTAGGGACAGGAGGGTCCCGACCCAGGGGCCAAGGAGATCAGGGCTTCGGAGACATTTCCACTTCGTGGTCCATTGGTCTCTTCCCAGTTTTAGAAAAGTCCGTCTCTGACTCCGAATCTCCAGCTGCCTGGGTCACTGTTTTCTACTGTGTTGCCTTTTTCTTACTGATTTGCAAGATTTCCTAACCATGCTGTAAACATGTCATTTGTTGAATATATGTGTTGTAAATGCATCCTACTTTTTGGAGTTCTTTTCATGCTTTACTTTTATGATTATCACTTTTTGTGCTCTAGGTAAGAGATCTTTGGTTTCGTAGAGTAATAAAGGCATTCTTTATTGTTTCCATCTGGAAGTGTCAGTTTCACATTTTGCATTTAGGTCTGCAGTTCTTCTGGAATAGATTTTATATATATTGTGAGGCAACGACCAAGGCTTGTTTTCCCATCTGGCCATTTAATTGGCCGCACCGTCGATGGAGAAGACCACCGTGTCCGTGCACTGCTGTCCCCAGTTTTCATCAGTCTAGTGTCTGTATCTGTGTGGGTTTGTCTGGGGCTTTCTATCATGTTCCATTGGCCCGTTGTCTGCGTCTGCACCCGCTAAACACTGTCTGGATTACTACGGCTTTGTAATAAGACGCGATACTGCGTAGCACAGGGTCTCTGGTTCAGTTCTTCTTCAACGTTGTCTTGGGGGTTCTTGGCCCAGACCATCAACATCAGAATCTGTATCAGGAATAGAGACTTTGAAAACCCCTCGGTTGACTGGGACGAGTAGCTAAGCTGGGGAGCCCCTCTTCTAAGAACTTCTGAGAAGTCCACCGAGTTTCCAACAGGGCCTGTGGAAAAGTCTATCTTCTGGTCAAAAGTGTCTCATTCTGCAAAATGCACTGTACGCACTGGTCCCCAAACAGCCTAAATGTTAGTCCTTGGAGGAGATCTGGTTTCTGACAGCCCGGTTCACCACGATGGGTCTAGAGCAGTAAGGGCCTTCCAGGGGACAATCCTTCTGTTGAATTTCTTTCTTTCTTCCCTCTGGTTTATCACCAAGTCTTCACTTTTTGAGTCACGGTGAAGTGAGAATTGCTGGGTAAACCAGGAGAGCTCTTTTCTTTAAGACCTTTCAAAATCCCACAGCTTTAATGTGCACTTGCTGCAGGGTTATTGTTAGATTTAAATTTAGTGGAAAATGGTCGTCTTATTAGTCCTTTGGTTTTTAAACTCATAAATCCCTTTCAGGCAACCGTTTTTATTAAGAGTTAGCACACTCCCATCGCATCTGATAATATGACTGTGAACAGCTGGAGCTCACTGAGAGCTACTGTTGTGAAATGGTTCTTACGTGTCAAATGTAGTTGGAAATAATTTTCTGTCTGCAGTTCAATCATAAGAGCTGGGATAATACTTGGCATTCAGGCTCTTACACCACATGCGACAGTCTGAGTGTCCCAGGTTCCTCCCAAACTTTCTTAACTTTTCTTACCGTCAAACCAGTTACATTCAGGTCTTTTGCCTATTTTTTAAGTGGATTCTGCGTTTTTTGGCCTGTTGAGTTGTATAAGTTATTTATATGAGTTTTGGATATTGACCCTGAAGAAACCCAAAAGCACTGATTCGGAAGAACACATGCACCCTCGTGTCCCTGTGCTGTTATTCTCAGCCGCCGAGATCTGGAAGCGGCCCCGCTGCCCATCAGCAGACGAGCGGGTGAAAACGCTGTGCGGCGTCTACACCATGGGATGCTGGTCGGTCACAAAAAAGAAGGGACTTTTCCCTTTTGCAACAGCAGGGATGGACATGGAGAGAATTAGGCTAAGAAATAAGTCAGAGAAAGACAAGTACCACGTGATTCCGCTTATATGTGGAATCTAGTAAACAGGATAAATTAACAAAACAGAAACAGACTCTTAGATGCAGAGAACAGACTGACGGCCGTCAGTGGGGCTGGTGAGGAAGGTGAGGGGATTAAGCAAAAACAGAGACGACAGCAGAACAACTGGTGGAGACGACACGTGGAGATTCCAG